GCTGATCGGACAAAATTCACGTGTGCTCCGGCATCCTCCTGCATCCCGAGAGCTCGGGGGGAGCTTCCCTAAATGCTGAAACCCCGCAAACGGGAGCGATGGTCGTGCAAGACCTCTCGTACCGGCTTCTCCCCGGTACAAGCGTGCAGCTCTCCAGGACTTTTCTGGGGCTTCGAGACGGCTGAAAAGAAATGGCACAAGCTGTTGGCTCCACGCCTTGGCTCCTGGACGCCTTGCGGCGCTGATTAATGATTGACTCTTAGATCCTGCCAAGCTGCTTTGGCAGGTGTCTGCCTCGCTCGCTGCTACGTGTGAGGGCAGCCTGCCGCTCTCGGGTGCCTTCTCCGGCCGTGAATTAATATTGAGGTCGACACGGATCCGTGTCTCAGAACCGGGGAGCCCCAAAAGGCTTTCAATGGGAAACGCTCTGTGCTGAGCCGGAGAGCTGCCGGGCCCTACCGCGGCGGTATTTAAGGGTAGTATCTGGTTGGGTCTGCTTTTGTAGCTGGAGCGGACGATGGAAAGCTGGAGCCCATCACCATGGGTCAGCTCAAAATATCAGGGTCTCTCCAGGCAGCGAGGCTACATCCTCTGCTCTCTTTGAATTTCCCAAGGGAGCATGATAAAAAGGAGCTGAGGATCTCTCCCTCGAGCTTTGCAAGTTTTCCTGATCCAAAACAGTTGAGGGTTGGGGAAGAAAATATGCGGAGCGGTTTAATCTAGAGAAAATAAAGGGAGATGAAAGAAAAAAAGGTGTATTCCTCAGGTGTGCCGAATTTTGCTGCGGAAAGATGGAGTGAGCCTTGAAATCTGCGCTAGGGAAAGCAGTGAGGATAGATGAGCACAGAAATGATTTTATCACCCAGCTCTTAGGGTCTAGGTGGTTTCTTGTCCAGGAGCAGACTTTCTAATGGCAAATCAGTTGGGACAGGAAAACAACCGTTTATCCTAAAACTTCTGCCTCATGAGCGTGCACGGCTGTGGTTTTGAACCCGTGCTGCTGCCAAAAGGAGAAACTTCTGGATTTTGGTGGGTGAAGCAAATGAGGCAGGTCGAGGTGGTCTCACCCCACACCCACCGGGATGCATCGGCTTTAGACCCCGAGTACCCGGCGAGAGAAAGCACGGTGCTGGGGAGTCTGAGCTGCTCCAGGGGAAATGACCGTTTCCTGCTGCCAATTAAAGGTAATTGCATCTAAGGCTAAATTAACTTTGTAATAAACAGGAGATTAGTAATGTAAGTGCTTAGTACTTGATCCCAAATTATTTTACTTGCCTTTCCTAGCGCGCTTGGATGGAGTTGTCATGGTAAAAACGCTGAGGTCTCGAAGAGAATGAGCGCTGCACAAAAAGCTGAACAGTCATCGCTTCTCTATTGTTGGATTAATTAAAAAAGATCTTTTTTTTTTTTTTCCCTCTTTTCACCTCCAGGAGACAGATGAGCTGTATATTGTTTCGCAGTTCTTTGTAGAAGAATGGAGGAAATTTGTCAGGTAACTTGGCTTGAGGTTTTTGGTGCTTTTTATGCCTTTTTTAGGGGGGGCTGTAGATAACGATTTTGCTTTTGAACTCCAGTGCAGTGTGTAGTTACCCGTGGTTTGCCTTTGTGGAAACAAGAAAACTGATTTTTGCAGGACTTGTATCAGTTGTAATACGTTGTAAGAAACTGAATTTCCTTGTTTATGGTGTCTTAACCAGATGGTCGGATTAGATAGTAACCTGATTAGTTTTTTCATCTGTCTGGAGCTGTATCCTATAGGCAAAGGTCACCGTCAATCCTGTTTCCACGGGCTGCTGGTGGTAGGAGATGGAAATCTCCGCAGATAGGAGAGTAATTTTGCAAGGCGCAGGAACGCAGATCTGATTTCCTCGTCGGTAGTAGTTTAATATTCCCTGTTGGAATGCCTTCTGTAAATATTCTTGGCTGCCTGCAGAGTTGTGGTTTTTGGGAAATAACCTGACCAAGCTTTGCAAACCGCTTTCCTTTGCCCGTGCAGGAGGCCGACGCGATGCAGCCCCGTGTCCTCGGTAGGAAACAGCGCCCTTCTCTGCCCCCACGGGGGCCTCATGTTCACCTACGCTTCCATGACCAAAGAAGACTCCAAACTGTGAGTTTCTTCTCTTCACGTGGCTGCCTTCGGCTCTCACGAGCCTTGGGGAATGTTCCCGGCGGCTCGCTGAGCTGCGGCAACACGAGGAGCAAATGCTTTCCCTTGAAGAAAATGAACGGTTGCTTTTTGAGGCCCACCTTAGCCTTCGTGCAAGGCAAGACCTAAATTGTCGAAGGATGCTGGGTCAGGAAAAAAGAGAGCTTACTTCAGCTTGGCTAGTTCCTAACAATAAACTACCCTGAATTTGACCGGGGCGCAGAAACATCCGGCTTCCTTACGATTTGCTTTCCGTGAGACTTGCCCCCGGAGCGCTGGACGCCGGGCTGGAGTTCGTGCTCCATGGCGTTGCTTCTGCAACTAAAAGTAGCAGCTCTTCCACTCCTCTCCTCTTCCATCCTCCCTCCGGCATGACTGGAGCATAACAGCGTCGCTAATAACACACTACTGTTTCCCTGTTCTCTTGGGCGTACAGGCCCTCCCGCGTAGCTGGAGTTATGGGTTGATTTTGCAGCTTTTCTTTCATTAACAGACTAAAAAAGAAAAGGGGAGGCTGTTCAGGAGCTCGGGGCTTGGCTTTTCCATGTCATAAAGCACGTTCTTGTTCCTTTGCACAGTATAGCTCTAATATGGCCCAGCGAGTGGGAGAGGATTCAAAAACTCTTCGTCGTGGATCACGTCATCAAAATCACCCGAACGCAAGCTGCCGGGGCGGACCCCGAGAGCGCACTTTACACCTCAGAGCCCCGTGAGTGAATCTTTTGCTGCTCTCCGTGCTCTCTTCTTTTGCTAATTGGTGCCAGCTCCCTGGGAAATGGCTCTTTTTCAGATAAAGGGGCAGATTTAAGGGGATCGGTGGTAAACACGGATCTTGGCAGATGCCCCTGGTTACAGGAGCCAGGGGGTTAGTGAGGAGAGGCACTGGGCAGGTGTCTCCGAGGAGCTGAAGCAATTAAATGCATTTTTCCTTCGTGCCTCCCCAGAACTCTGTCCAGAGTGCAGAGAAGGGCTGTTATGCCAACAGCAGCGGGACTTGCGTGAGTACACCCAAGCAACCATCTACATCCATAAAGTGGTGGATAATAAAAAGGTACGGGCTCTCTCCCTCGGTCCTTGCTTATCCTGGCTCCGTTTCATGTAACGGAAACGGCGCCGAGTACCCAAATACCGATCCGAACGTGGCGGCGAGAGGGCTGTCGCAGCCTGCCGTGTCCCCGCAGTGGTGGGACCTGCCGGTGGGGATGCTGGTGGCCTGTGATGGTGGTGGTGGGCAGGGCTGCTCTCTGCAGGCAAAAAGCACCCAGGGCTGCGGCTCGTGGAAGCTATCGCTTTGGCAAAAAAAGCAAATGGGAAAATTCTGGCTGTAGTGGCTCTGAAAATTTGGTCTCCTTGAGGCTTCCTTTTGCCAAACCAAATCCTTTGCATTATCGGGTATCTTCATGGCTGTTCCCAGCTTTGATTATTTTAGGCAATGTTGTAACCGTTTCTGTCTTCATAATTGTGTTATCGGGCTCTACCTGTTCTCCTCCCCCTCCAATATTTGTCATTTCCTTTCTTGGTTGCTCACTTGAGCATTTATTCCTAGACAGAAATAAGCTTTTCAACCTCCGTGCTGATGAAATAGCAGTGAACTTAGAGATAGTTTTCAAGATCCCCTACAAAGCTGTGAATTCTGTCTCTGCTTTATCTCTCTGGTTTAGGGGATCAGTATCAGGTCTAGAATTGGCTTTACAGGTAGCTGAAAACTGGTCACAGTAAGTCTTTCTCCTTAGGGCTTGTTTCATGCTTTAAAGGGGGATACCAAGGCTCGTGGGCAAGCTCAGATAAAGATTTTTCCCTGCACCTTTGCAGCGTGGGGCTTTATTTTTTTTTTTTTTTGTGGCATCTCCTTGATTTCCCCCTCCCTGCCAGTCTAAGGATTGGAGCCGAGCTGGAGCCCGGAGAGCTGCGGGGCGCCGGAGGCTGGATGGGTTTCTGCCTTGGTTGTGAGATGTAGAGCACGCAGCACGGTCTCGAGCCGTGGTTTTTGGCCTGACTCGAGGCTGAATCCTGAGGCTGTAGCTGGGCTCTGGTGCAGAGGAGGGTTGGTTGTTGTTTTTTTTTTTTTTTTTTTCTTCTGGTGCTGGACAGGACCGTGCTCACACGTGGGGCTGGCAAAAAACAGGCAGCTATTCTTTGCCGAGCAGCTGGAGTTGGAGAGAGGGGGCGAGAGCTTGCCTGCGAGATCCCTCATTAACAGGGCAGCCTCGGCGAGACGCGAAGCAGCAATAATGCCCGCCAGCAGCGCAGCAGCACTGCCCGCGAGGGTTGCGGATGGCAGCGCTCGGAGCCGCTGCTTCCTTCCCTGCCGGTTTTGATTTGCAAAGTCGGGGAGCGTTTCCCATCCCCTCGCCCCTGCTCTTCCCCCCCTCCGCAGCCCTCCGGGTCCCTCCTTCGGCTGACGCTGCAAGAGGGAAGCCACGGCCGTATAAAAATCAGCGTAGGGTGGCACTGCTGGAATCCGGAGGGCTCTGGGGAGGCTGCGGTTGGTGCTGGATGTTTGGGAGCTGGGATTGCCTCGTTAATTGCAAATAGATTGACGGAGAAGCGAGGTCTCAGACATCCAGGATGGAGAGCGCGCCAGTCTCCTGGGCTCCTGCAAACCCCATCTCCAGCCAAAGCGTGGACGTGAATTCACGTCCGGCAGATCCATGCCTCCTGCAGTGACTTACACAGAACTGAACGTCCTTTTTATTTATGTTTGTGTAAATTATTTAGATTTCATTTACTTACAACCTCCAGACCCATAAATAGTGGTGCTGAGTGCCTCTGTCGGTCTGCTGCAGGGATGGATAAGCGTCTAATTTACAAATAATATTCCTTGCTGCGTGTTAGGGCTTTCATAATACACTTAGATGAACCAGAGAAGCAGCCAGCTAATGGGAAAGAAATCAGTCCAGGCCCCTGGAGACTTTCCCTTTGCCTAGAGAGGAGCGTAGGTCCTGAGCCGCAGGAAGCACCTGCAATTCAACAGAGGAGCTGCTTCTCCTGTGTCGAATCCCCCCGTGGTTCGCCGCAGCTGGGGAGGGCTGGAGAAGATTTTGCAGAGCCTGTGGAGCCAGATGCCGGGGTTATTCCCGCTCTTTGCCTCGGTTTGTCGGCTCGAGGTGGCATCCCGGAGGTCTCCGCAGGCCGTTTGCCGTGCCGTGCCGGTGTGGGTTGGTGCTGTTGGGTTAGTTACGGAGAATGATTTTTATGACTTCAGGTAATGAAGGACGCTGCTCCAGAGCTGAACGTGAGCAGCTCAGAAGCTGAAGAGGAAAGGGAGGAAAACAAGCCAGAGGGGGAGCAAGACCCAGATTTTAACCAGGTAGAGATCAAAAATACCACCAGGTTCCTTGGTTTTTGCATCATCCTCTTGAGTCAGCATGATGGGATAGCCCTCCTCCTCTGTTTACCGCTAGCAGGCAAAAACAAGTGTCTTAAATTGTCATTTTAACGGTCGTACCGCACCATCGCTTTGGTTTTGGAGAGATCAAATACCGATGGTGACTCGTACGCTTGGCTGGTAACCCGCCCCGCGCTCGCGTTAGAAGCAGGAACCGAGGTTTCAAGGCAAGTCCTTCGGTCCTCTCGATGCTTGCATGCGGCTGTTCGCTTTCCAAGGGGTTTTTCAACGCTTCGCGCCTTCCCTCGCATGACCGACTCACCCGAAACGCAGTCCGGAGTTCAGGGAGGTTGTATTTTCTACCAATCCCAAACTTGGGCTCCTGATTTTTGCCTCTTGTTTCTAGACCAACGGTGGTGCTAAGCGCCAGAAGATCTCGCACCAGAGCTACATCGCTTACCAAAAGCAAGGCATCAGGCGAAGCACCCGGCACCGGAAAGTCAGAGGGGAGAAAGCGCTGCTCGTTTCTGCTAATCAGACACTGAAAGAGCTGAAAATACAGGTAAGGTGTTTTTCCTCCAAGGAATGAATCGTCTCGAGTAAGAAAACACAAAATCAGCGCGCGGCTGGGAGGGGATGGGGGGGGGGAGAGTATAAAATCCCACGCGGCGTCGAAAGGTGCGCGTTGCTCTTCTAACCGCGGTTATTTTTGTGTCGCTCGGCGGTATGTTTTTCTCTCCGCACAAAATCAGCGTGTCTCATTGTGTTGGCACAGATCATGCATGCATTTTCAGTTGCTCCCTTCGACCAGAATTTGTCAATCGACGGGAAGATACTGAGCGACGACACCGCAACGCTCGGCAGCCTGGGAGTCATTCCCGAGTCCGTCATTTTATTAAAGGTGAGAGCGTGGCTGCCAAAATAAAGTCGAATAAAGCAGAGAATTGAACCGATTTTTGTCCAACCGAAGAGAAACACGTTGCGGTGGGTGTGAAAACTGCCTGCGCTAGACGTGCCCACCCGTGGCTGCTCGGTAGCCTGATTTAACGAGTTCCTCCTGGAGCTTGGAGGAGGAAAACTCTCTTTATTTTTTTAAAGAGCATTTATTAGCTGGCCTTTGCGGCTGAGCTGTGTGCGTACCAGCCCAAAATACGGCTACATGAGGGAGCGACTCCTCCCCGCTTGTTCCCAGACGGTGTTTGAGCAAGAGCCCTGTTCCCCGCTCCCCTCCGGAGCAGGACCGTGACCTAATCAGGCCGTGAACTTCCAAACGAGGTTGCTCGCTCGTTAATCCCCTGCTCCGCTTTATTTTCCAGGCTGATGAGCCAATTGCAGATTACGCGGCGATGGACGACGTTATGCAAGGTGAGGAGGGGATCCCTGAAAGGTTTGGGGTTCGGAGAAGTATTGGTGGCCAAGGACCGTGGTGGATTTGGGTTGTAAAGGTAGAAAATGGAGACGTTGAAGCTTTCCCGTCACCGGGAGATTCAGCGGTACGCCGCTGCTCAGACAAAAGATCCTTTTAGGAACGACTGTCAGGAGACTCCTAACGCTGTGCCTTTTTCTTTCCATCCCCAGTTTGTATGCCTGAAGAAGGATTTAAAGGTGAGTCTGGTTTTTTTTTTTTTTTCCTCCCCCCTTTATTTAAGCCTAACTTCATCCCCTAAGCGTCGTCATCTTTCGGTGGTTGTCTTTTCTCCTCAGGGACTGGTTTACTTGGACACTGATGGTTTTCTAAGCGTTGACAACAGAGGAGCGACCAGAAGGGAAGAGGATTTTGACATGGTAGGGCATTAAAAGAAATAAAGGTGGACACAGGACTGAACTCTTTGACTCTTCCAGAAGGCAGAAACCCATTCTGAAATGACTGCCCCCCTCCAAATAAATGCCTTATGTCAAAGCAGATTGCACTGAAGGACACCCTGCCTTCGAGAGAACGTTCCCGATTTTATATTTAATAAAGCAACAGGAAGGGTGGAAAGTTTAGCGGCAGTAAGAGCGTTACCGTGTTTACAGGCGAGGGAGACGGAGGCGTTCTCGTGTGTTCCCCGACTCGAATCCCGCACCGCGCTCGTCTCTCCGAAAAGGGGTTGTAATCCAGTAGATCAAAAACATCTTGATCTGTTCTCCAGTAACTCTTTAGGCGTAACCTGCTTACAGATAATCCTGTCTTTGATCCACTATTACTCTTTCAGTACAGCATGGAAGTAAAGAAATTGTTACTTGTGAGGAATGTCTAGCTCTTTCAACAAAAAAAATACAAAACCCTTCATCTCTTTAACCCCAAACGTAAGCTGTGGTCTGCCTCCGAAAGCCTTCCATCGCCGAGGGGACGGGGAGCCGCCTCCCTCGCCGCCTCCTCAGCCGCTCGCCTTCGCCTCCAAACGTTGGATGATCTTTCGATAACCGCCTGGTCTCTCTCTGTCAACTGTATTTTTTAGAAACGTGGGGTATTTTAACGACTTTTGATAACATCTTTTTCCTCCAGTCGGGGCCTGCCAGGAGCGCTTGTGCCCGTGGCTTGGGCGGACGGCGAAGGGGGCGCGGGTGGGTGGCGTTTCCCATGGGAAGAGGTTTTTTTTGGTCCTCTCTTCTCCTCGTTTTTCAGGAATGCACTAATAATTATTTGGGTTTTTTTACATCTGTAGCTCCCAGAAAGGATCTCTCCCCGTTGCCTGTGGGTAGCAAGGAATAGCGTACCGCTTCCAGACTTAAAGGGCGCTGTCGAGGTGTCTCCGTAATAAAGTGAGACGTTCCCTCTTCCTTTTCAGCCTTTCAGCTTCTTTCCGTGGCAAAAGGCGATGCGGAGAGCCGGGTTGCTGCCGCATCAGCTTTAATTTTAAAGGGTTTGCAGGAGTTTGGGGCTGCGAGGAGAGGGCGGGGAGGGCACGTATCCCATCCCGCCACCCCCGGCGGCCTTTATTTTAAACGTTCTCTTTTATCCGAGGAATTAGAGCTGCCCTTGGCCGAGCGCGGGGGCTCCGCGTCCTCCTCCCCGGCCCCGCCGCTTGTGGGGGCGAAGCAGCCGGCGTTTGGGGCCGTGGAACTCTTAAAAAGTGGGGTTTGGGGGCAATTTGGACCCGCGTATTCTTTCCCAAGGTAAAGGTGTCGGCAGGAATTCGGCGCGCCGCAGCCCCTCCATCCTTCGGGAACGGGCAGGAGGTTTTCTTCTTCCCTGACTGAAGCACTCGCTTGTGTACATATTTCCTGGAAATTCCGTATTTTTTTTTTTTTTCTCAATTTGCTGTTCATTTTTGTTTTTCTAATGTTACAAAAATCTCTTCCTTGAGCTTATACCGTTGCAAAATTAAAAGTCTCGAAACTCAGCGGGAAGGAAGGAGCCGGGGCCGTGGCGGCGTTTCCGCGGAGCGATGTACGGCCGCGCCGCGGCATCGCCCTATCTCCCGGAGGCCGCAGGTACAAGATGCGATCGAAGGCCCAGTTACCGTTTTGTCTGTTCTTTGCAAACATTCTTGGATTAAAATTGTCATTGGAGCTGTGGAAGCCTTATTAAAGCGCATACACGTGGTCTGGCTTGGATTTTAACGCCGCGTTCGGGGTTTATCGTCCTGCAGATCCCAAAAAAAGGGCTGCGGGTGCCGCGGGGTCGGGCTGGGAGCGAGCGGGATCTCTCCGGAGCGGGAATCCTGCCAACCTTGGCGCATGGGGTGGGTTTTTATTGAAGCCTCCATGGGCG